GGGGAACAACCAGACTTGTGTACCGATTGCAAACAAGCGGTTTGAGCAAGGACACATGAAAAGTATTAGGTATACGTAAGGACGTTGGAAGGGTCAAAGAATAAGAAACAGGGTTGATTCTCCTAACCACACGAAAAGGACCAAGGAACCTCGGAGCAAACTTCATGCTGGGAACCTTCAACCTGATGTTGCGTGAGGATAAACAAACCCGATCACCCACCTGGTAAACTGGATAAAAACTCTGCCGTTTATCTGCATGAAACTTAAAGCGAGCGGCCGCAGTTTCAAGAGTGGAGTGAACCTTAGTCCAGGTATCCTGAATAGAGGTAAGGTGATCATCCAGAGTAGGGATAGCTGTATCAGAAAAGAACAGGATGACGACCCGTATTGACAAAAAACAGACTATGCCCAGATGAGTCATGCGTTATTCCTTGCAAATTCGGCCCAGGGCAATAATTCAGCCCAGTTAAACAGTGTAACATAACTACAGCTCAAGTGATTGGTTAGCACTTTCAGCTGTACCATTAGTTTGGGGATGGTTAGCAGAGGAAAATGACAATTCACCTGTGACGATGGCAATTTTTTAAGTGGAGTAACGTGTGCCATTTTGGAAAAACGGTCAACTACCATGAGGATGGTAGTATACACATTGGATCTAGGCAGTTGAACAATGAAATCCATTGATAAATGAGACAGTGGCATACTGGGTATAGGAAGTGGCTGTAACAATCCACACGGAGGTTTATGAGGAACCTTTGAAACCTCCGTGTGGAGGCTTCTACATAATCTTTAATATCCCTCCTGAGTGACTCCTACCAAAATGACCTGGAAATGGCGGACACAGTTTTATTAATAGATATAGAAATAAAAGCATCCAGGAGCTTATGACATATACCTAATAGATACTAGATATAAGATGTATTGATAGAAAATAAATATAGATATCAATATTAATACAATCTAAAACACTAAAAGCATCCAAAAAAGAATTGCTAAATAATTACTTTGCATAAGAGTCCAAATTGTAAATAAATAAGGGATCAGTCCAAGCATAAGAGCAAATAATTATAGCACATATAGTCCTTGAGCATGTATCATAAATGACCTCTGACCTGTTGGGGTAGCCTTTACAGAATCAAACGAGGTTCTTATGAATTTATTCTACATTCATATAAGAAAGAATAAAATAAGAAATAGAATATTATGATAAAAATGAAATCTAGGCTTGTTAGTATCACAAACTAACAGCCTAATTGACAGTCTCCAATATAAAAGTCTAGGCTGGCCGCCAAAAACCGCAACTGTAGCAACAGGAATAGATTGGTTCCGTATTGGTACCCTAATGATTGCGTCCATATATATCAAAAATGACTTGTAGAAAAATAGTATTTATCAATAAAAGGAGTGCTTTATTCACATAAATGATAAAAAAATAATAATAGATAGTTCTAATAAAAACATGAAATACTGGATAAATAATGTTCCACAAAAATATTCCAAAGTAAGAGAAGGTGAAAAGACCATATAACCTGAACCGTTCGTCTGGATGGCTGAGGATGGTGATATTCCTGTGAAATCAATACGAAGAGAAGAGGTGGAGAGAACAAGACTCGGTGATCTACAGACGTCTCTATCCACAACACAATGTCATTCTGGAGGCTCGCCTCTTGATGTGAGTTTAGAGGTGAAGTGCCAAACAACGCGGACGCCGTCCTCACCGGCTGCTGCAGGACCAACTTGGAAGGGGAATATCACCATCCTCAGCCATCCAGACGAACGGTTCAGGTTATATGGTCTTTTCACCTTCTCTTCTGAATATTTTTGTGGAACGTTATTTACCCAGTATTTCATGTTTTTATTAGAACTATCTATTATTATTATTTTTTATGTGAATAAAGCACTCCTTTTTTTGATAAATACTATTTTTCATTAAGGATATATATGGACGCAATCTAAAGTATTATTAGGGTACCAATACGGAATACTTTAGTATCTATTCCTGTTGCTACAGTTGCGGTTTTTGGCGGACAGCCCAGACTTTTATATTGGAGACTGTCAATTAGGCTGTTAGTTTGTGATACTAACAAGCCTAGATTTTGTTTTTATCATAATATTCTATTTCTTATTTTATTCTTTGTTATATGAATGTAGAATAAATTCATAAGAACCTCATTTGATTCTGTAAAGGATACCCCAACGGGTCAGAGGTCATTTATGATACATGCTCAAGGACTATATGTGCTATAATTATTTGCTTTTATGCTTGGACTGATCCCTTATTTATTTACAATTTTGAATCTTATGCAAAGTAATTATTTAGCAATTCTTTTTTGGATGCTTTTAGTGTTTTAGATTGTATTAATATTGATATCTATATTTATTTTCTATCAATACATCTTATATCTAGTATCTATTAGGTATATGTTATAAGCTCCTGGATGCTTTTATTTCTATATCTATGAATATGTATGGGATTTGATGAAACCCCGTTTTTTCCAGTTTCAGAGCTTCTATCCTACCCTCTGTCTTATTCCTTCTTACACATTTTCTGATAGACATATTTTTTGACTATCAGGACTTACTTTTACTATTACAGTTTTATTAATACCCGGATGCCCAGCGGTCACATTATCATGGAATACCTTCAGCACCTCTTTCCTGTCAGGCAATGAAATAAACAATTTATCTTGAGATTTGTTGCAAGCTGCCTGGGCCTGAGCTGCCATGATAGCACGGAGCAAAGGGGACGATTACGAAAGGACAGTGGATGCAATAATACAATCAGGAGAAATAATAGGGGATGTCTCTTGTTCTAGATCCGATTCAACGTCAAATTGCCTAGACAAGGCGTCAGCTTGTTTAGAAGACAACGTTTGGCCTCCCCAATATATGCCAGGTTCTTGTGATCAGTAATAATCAGAATGGGATCCTCGGAACCCTCCAAAAGATGTTGCCATTCCTTAAGCGCTAGTGGCTATTCTCTATTATCAATGTCATAGTTATGCTCGGCAGGAGACAACTTTCTGAAGAAGTAACCACAAGGATGCAAAGTGGAAAGAACAGCCCTGACCCCTGTCTTGGAGGCATCAACCTCAAGTAGGAAAGATTTACTAGTGTCAGGATGTCTTAATATGTCAACAGATGCGAACATTTGTTTCAGAAGCCCAAAAGCCTCTTTAGCTTCTTTAGGCCATATAGTGCAATTAGCCCACTTGCGTGTCATATTGGTGATGGGGGCTATTACCAAAGAGAGACCTTTGATGAATCTCCTATAATATTTAGATAAACCAGAGGAGTGTTTTGGATGGCTTTTAACCCATTGGGTAACAGCCAGTGTAGAACGGGCTTTATTTTGCGAGGATCCATTTGGAAACCAGTGGCAGAAATATTATACCCCAAAAACTGAACCTCATGCTGATCAAATATGCATTTCTCAAGTTTGCAATGAAGTCCATTATCAAGCAATGTTTGTAATACTTGTTTAAAATGTTCATGATGAGTCTGGAGGTCTGGGGAATAAATAAGGATATCATCCAGGTAAACTAGAACAATTGAATAGATATAGTCCCTGAGTACACTGTTAATAAAATCCTGAAACACGGCCGGAGCATTGCATAATCCGAAAGGCATAACAAGGTATTAAATGCAGTCTTCCATCCATGATCCTCCCTAATCCTCACCAAATTGTATGCACTCCTAAGGTCAAGTTTGGTAAAGATCTTAGCATCCTGGAGTCTATCAAACAATTTGGATATAAGGGGAATGGGATAGGCATTCTTTATAGTAATTTTTTTTAATGCCCTGTAGTCAATGCAAGGACGTAACTTTCCATCTTTTTTAGCTACAAAAAACATTCCTGCTCCAGCAGGCAAGGATTATTTACGTATATGGCCTTTTCTTAACGATTCTTTAATGTACTTATCAATGATCTTACTTTCTTGTGGGGATAGGGCATAGGGCCTTATATAGCATAGCCCCAGGCAACAGCTCAATGGAGCAATCGTATGACCTGTGTGGAGGAAGAACATCAGTCTGGCTTTTACTAAACGCCTCCCTAACCTCCCAATACTGTACAGGAATTTCGGGGGTCAGAGACGTAGCAGCGGGTAAAGCAACAAAGCCCAATTTTTTAGTAATGTGAAACATGCAGTTTTCCTGACAGTCTTTACCCCATTCCAGTATTTCCCCTTTAGTCCAGACAATATGAGGGTTATGCTTGATGAGCCAAGGGAAACCGAATAAGATGGGACAAGAAGGGGAAGCGATTATCTGAAAGGTAGTGTCTTCCTTATGCAAAGCTCCTATCGTAATGCAAATAGGCAAAGTCTCATTGGTAATCATGAGGAGATAGGGGTCTCCCCTCAATAGCCTCAACCGCTAGAGGTGATGATCTCTCCTTGACTCGTATAGTGTTTCTTAACAAAATATAAATCAATAAAGTTACCAGCCACACCTGAGTCAACCAGGGCTTTGCATAAAAAGTTCTTCTCATTGCAAAAGGCAAAAATGTCAAGGAGAAATCTGCTTCGGCAATTGCTTGAGGACGTATCCATTTAACCTAAGACCTGTCCCCTTAAGGTTTTTAGGTGCGGAAGTTTTCCGGACGTATAGGACAAGCATCTCTCATGTCTTTTTTTGCCACAAGACCCTCTTTTCTCCTATACTGTTTCTCTGCCTCAGGCAGTCCAGTAACTGTATAGGTTCGGGTTCTGACAGTGTTGGAAGGCCATATACAACAGGTTTGGAGAATCGAGGTGCTAGTGACTGTCGCGGCTGCCGACCCGCCGCGTGGCAAGGCTGTGCCCGACCGGCTCAGCCTCGCTGACAGAACGAGCTTACCTGCTCGTTGGCAAGCCGACAGCCGCTTCCCCGCATCCTCCAGCCCTTGCGCCCGGATCCAAAATGGCGCTAACCACGTGGTCGCGCCTAAAAATAGCTCCGCCCCCGAAGTTTGTTTCTGACGTGCGCGTGACGTCACAACGTCAACACGCACGTTTTGAGGTCAGAGGTCGCCCTCTGACCAATCAGACCTTAGAGAGGGATATTTAAATCCCTAACTCACCCCAGTACCATGCCCTGTCCTGGTTTCCTGTTCCTGGTTTCCTGAGAGTGCTCTATCTTTGTGAATCTGATTTCCTGGTATCCTGATCTTGGCTTTTCCCTGGTTATTCTGAATTCTGGTTCCCCTGACTTGGCTTGAGTAAACGGTATTGTGTATTTTCTGGCTTCCTTGATCTCGGCTTTCCCTTTGACCATTCTCTGTCTCTAGCGTATTAGTCCGGCCATTCTAAGATCCGGTTTACGCTCTGTCCTTTTTATTTTCTTTTTTTAGCCTATGTATATGTTTATATAGTTTCTGCGTGCTGGACCACTCTAGTAGTCGTGACAGTGACATAGTCAAACGTCTAGTTCTGTTTCTACTTATCACATAAGTAACAAAGTCATAAAGTCATAGGTAGGTCTTTGGCAGCAATTTTATAGAGAATATTCTCAGATAATCCTTTTCAAAAGCAGCGATTAATCCATTAGTAGTCCAGTCTACCTCAGATGCCAAAGTACGAAATTCTATGGCATAATCTGAGATAGACCGGTTCCCTTGTTTGATATGCATTAAGGCAGTGGAGGCGTCTTCCTCCCTGCCTAATGGTTCAAACGTCAGTTTGAATTCCGCAAGGAATTCCTGGTAATAATGAGCGATACTCCTATTACTTTCCCATAATGGATTACTTTAAGTGAACACTTGGGAGAAAATAAGGCAAAAAGAAGAGAATGACATTTTCACACTGGCTAGATGTAGTGGCAGAAAAATCTAATATCTGGTTTTCATGTAATGTTTGGAGATTAAGATTCCATTTCCATTCAGGTAGCAGTGAGTTAACTACTGTCTCTTTTGCCCTTTAACAGCAAATAGTTTAATCCTATACCTGTTTGCTGTGAGTTCGGCTGGGTTCTGGCAACTAGGCTTTTTTTTCAAAATTCTTTATTTTTTGTAGTTGTTCATAAGAGTAGGTCAAACTTGAAAGTGATCATGATTTAATCCAGCTACAGAAATATACGTTAACAAATAGGTTGAGTCAACTCTTGTAGCTACAGATTTCTGTTGGTAATTGTGTAGTGTGCCCATCATAACCATGTTAAAATACGCATTCTATGTACCCTATGGGCATAGTATGTTACTTTACCCCTTAAGGACTAGGGGTACTAAGGTGCCAGTCATAAACATTTGACAGTTTAGGCAGTCCCCCAGCGGCTGACCCAGCTCTCCGGGCCATGTGATCCCCTCTGTCTGCTACAACCCAGCTACTTTTGCTGATATTTTGTTGCTTTGTATCCAAAATGTACGAATGGCCAACCAACCGGCCCTTGGTGTTTGCCGCTAATTAACCCCATTCACCTTCTAAACACCTAACAAACCGTCGAACGGATGACCCCATACCTGAGGAGTGTGCCTACAATCAACCACCCAGGAGTTGTGGTTTGTGGTTAACCGCAGCCTAATTGACTGTCATCAGGATAGTCACCGTTTGTATGTAAAGGGTCGAACAGGGTACCGAACAAAAAGGTGAAATAACTCCTGAACGACCGACCACCCAGCCCCTGGCATGTGCCCCTAGTTAACCACCTTGAAGTTGCGTTTTTTGTGGTTAAACGCAACAAAATTGCTTATCACCAAGGTGGTCGTCGTTCGTATGCCGAACGTGGCGGTGGCCATCTTTGGTTGTCAAACTCTCAGCAGGACTTGATCACCAAACTCATGGTACTACTCTCGGACAATAGTTTGCACGAATCCCGCTGGGATACAGCTTGCCCCGTCCGTTCGATCCTAAAGTCACGAAAGACATACCATTCGGCAATTTGGCTCTATGAACGTTATACCGGCCCCTGGCTGAGGACACACAGGCTGCTAACAGTCGAATAACCGTACAGACATGTTTCATCCTCATGGCTTTCGTATACTATTCATGAGATCTGAGCGCTATTCGTATACTTTGTGCGCTCAGAGCTGTCTGGGGATGGGTTGAATGGGATATCTAAGTACTATGATGCAAAAGTTATTCATTTTTATTCAGTTTTCATGTATGTAATAAAGTGAGAGTATTTCATGTACCTGGAGATAATTGAGTTACTGTAACCGTTGAGACCAATTATCTCCAGGGTAGGGGGTAGTGTTTTGGAAAATGCACTTTGTTCCTATTGGTTGTGACACTGTATTATCATGTGTACCATCAGGTCCAGAGGGGTGTTCCTCTGGCCTGAAAATATGTATTTAAGGCCGTGCATGAGTACCCATTAAACCAGTTCTATTTTTACCCTCAACTCGCAGCCTCGACTCGTGTTGTAGGGAAAGGCGTATACTAGCTTTATTGATAGCTAGTGGAATTTCTACATTTCCAGGATTATTGATGTATGCTGTCCGGAGCGGCACTCTTACTTTCCAAGATCGGGAACCAGGACATCGAAGCGTTCCAACTTTCAGCTAGCCTGGAGGCAACTGTAACAGTGTGACTGTGGTCTGGGTGCAGTGTCCCAATCTCTTTAACCCTGCAAGTGTAATTATTGCAGTTTCTCAGAAACTGCAAGAATTACCTTGAGTGGTTAACTCCACCTCTAGTGACTGTCTACTAGACAGCCACCAGAAGGACTTCAGGGTGGTTAGGCGACCAAAAGTCACCTAACTGAGGCTGGACATCCTCATGCTGTGTATGAGGACATCAGGCGTCTGCTAAATTATCACAGGAAAGAATTGATACAATGCTTTCCTATGGGGAAGCCTAATGCAAGCGCAGAGAAGGAGCTTGACCTAGCGCGTGTAGTTTAAAGAGGAATAGGTGCAGCCTTGACAGGAAGGGTTTGGGGCAATTTAAGATTAGGGGGGTGCCCAGGTTTAGTTATGCCTAGGGCAACGCAAAACTAAAATACACCACTGGTGGCCAGAGTCATCTGTTTCTGAGTCTGATCCCGACTCCATCGCTCTCTATGCATGTGGCAAATCTTTGTCTGGACGGCAACGTAAAATCCGTGCCACTGCGAAGTTCTGCTTAGATTTTTATCCCCCACCCAAGGAGGGGCAAGGAGGGGCCAGGAGGCATGATGAGTAGATTAGTGTAGTTTCTGTAGGTGTAGAAGAATTATTGTAACGGATCGACGGGCACCCCGACTGGGTACCTCCGTTGAAGGATGCTCCTAGCGCTTCATGAGGTCTCCAAGCACTCCAGCCGACACCATAACCACCGTAGACTCCTTCAGAGAGCACGACAGGAACAAGCTCTTAAAAGAGCTTAGGAGTGATTATAGAAAGGGAATATGCAGAGCATAGCAATCCCTTGTAGCAGATTCCCCCAATACGAGACAAATTGAGGGTGAAGTAGAACTGAATATAAGTATACTTTAAAAGTATACATCACATTCACATACTTACATTACAAACTTACATTTTCAGAATCAGCATACTCCAAATACAAACATACTCAAAAATCAGAGAATTCCTTCCATTGGTTTAAAAGTTAGGTTGAAGTCCTTTGTGACCACTGAAGCATGTCTTTCCAGCCAAAACCAGTTCCACAGAGTCCTCTATCCTGGAGATAATTGGCTTAACTGGGTGTGGTAAGCCAACTATCTCCAGGTACAGAATATGTCACTATTTACAACAACAGTAAAAACACATAAAAATACATAATTCCCATTATATTAAACAGAACCCCCACATTCAACATATGCCCAGATAGCTTGGATCTGAGCGCTCACTATATCCGAACAGCGCTCAGATCCCACGAACACAGTCAAATCGCCATGGGGTTAAGAGACAGACGAGGGGCAAAACAGCAAGTTCCAACTGGTCTAGCAGTGTCCCTGGGACAACGCCCTGCTGCAGAACAATAGACAGGAAACGGGGAAGTGGCATACCTTCCCATGTATTCAAAGGGGCAGAAAAAGTGTTTCAAAATTCAGTAAGCCCAAATACGTTTCTTAAAGGCCAATACATCCGATGGGCCACATGGCAGGAGGCTGGCAATCAGTCTTCTCCAATGCCCAGTGGCGAGGCTGGTTCCGCCACAATGATCACTTTTGGGATGCCTGCAATTACTGAGGCTTAGCAACACGCCACCATCTTCACTGGAAGCCAGGTGCCGTCCCCACTGGAAGATTTCTAAAAACAAACGAGACATAGAGTCGGTAAAAACTATGACTTCCATAAAATATCTGAACCCCTGAACTGATCTGGGTGATTTTTGGATATGTTGGTCACCCAGATCAGCGCTATCATACTTTGTGGGTGTTTGAAAAAAGTATGTTTTTTCTGTGCTTGGATATAATTGGATTAGACTTAGTATAGGTACTGATCCAATTATCTCCCAAGCAAGGAGGAGGAGTTATAGGAGTGTCGGGCATTTAATCACTGTTCTTATTGGTCTGTGTCTTTGTGTCACAGTCCCCAACAAGGTCCATGTAGGCGTACCCCTTGCATGGGGATTGTCATAAAAGGCCAAGTGTGGCTTCCATTAAATTGAGATTCGTTTACCCCTTCATTAAGTCTTATCTCATGTTTAGGGGATTGGAGAACTACATTCACTCTGGGGATTGCTATAATCACTATACCCCCCTGAGTATAATCACTAGTTCTTATAAGAGCTGTTCCTACTACGCGCTCGGGACTTGGAGAGGTCTACCCACTGGAAGCTGGATCCAGGTCTTGGGTCCAGGGTGGGTGAAGGACGGTGAGACCCCAACCAAGCTGCGGCGGTTCGTGGGGTTTACGGTGGTTATAGTGTTCCAGTACAGTGCTTATGGTGCTTGCAAGTACTAGGAAGAAGCGATTGACGGAGGTACACGGTCGAGGTGCCAGGCGGTCCGTCACATTGGTGGCAGCGGTGGGATGGTTTCCTAGTCTTGGGGTAACATCCAGAACACCCCTGGGACTCCTGCACATCTTCTAGAGCGAAACAACCATGGCGCCCAGTTACATGGAGGCGGAGTTTGGTAGAGAGTTTAAGGGGTTGCTGGCTTTCTTTGGACCTAACCCAGCTGAGAAATACGTACAGTTCACGAAGAATTTAGTGTCTGAGTACCTGCAGCACAGAGCAGAACTGGCAAGCGATAGGGAACCGGGGGTGGGGGGGATACCCCTGCTCCAGCAGCAAAGAGCGTCAATGGGAGAGGAGATTGTCTGTGCCTCATCTCAGCAGAAGCAAGCAGCACTGGGGGTGGAGAGTGTCGGTCCCACTACCCAGCATCCGGCAGCATTACCGGAACTCGAGACAGTCGGTCCGACTCCCCAGTATCAGTATGGGTTAAAGGAATACTGACTGCCGGTCTCTCTCCCCAGTGAGAGTGTTACCAGGAGAGGAGATGTCAGTCCCTCATCCCCGCAGCAGCAAGCAACACTGAGAGTGTAGATAGTCGGTCTCACTACCCAGCACCAGGCAGTGCCACAGGGAGAGGAGATTGTCGGGCCCTCATCTCAGCAGTAGCAAGCAATTCAGCACCACGCAGCGTTACCGGTAGTCGAGACAGCTTACCTTACAGGGAGAGGTGAAACTGGTCTCTTTCCCCAGCGGCAGGGCAAATTATTGGGAGTGGAGACAGTCGGTCTCACTCCCCAGGGGCAGTGTGCATTACAGGGAGAGGAGCGGCAGCTAGAGACACCTTGGGTGGAAACAGTTGGTCCCCCACCCCAACCACAGGGAAAGATACAGGGAGTGGAGATGGTCGGTCCTACCCATCAGCAGCTGGGGCTGTCGTCCAGAGACATACCCCCTAGCATCTTCCCAGCAGAAGAGCTGGCATCAGGGCAGAGAGCAGTCGGCCTCTGCCCTGCCTGCCTCCTTGTTACAGGACAGGACTACGTACTAGTCACCCCAGCAGAAGCGTTGGCACCAGGGCAGAGCATCGTTGGCCTCTGCCCACCAAGCACCTACAACTCCATGCCTGGGAGTACAAGGGAGACCAGGAGTACCAGATGCCCACTTGATCACTGGGGATATACAGAGATGGGCTACAGAAGTCACCAGGTCCAGTATTTGCTTATGAGTGTGCTACTTGACTAACTCAGTTACTGACCGACAGGAGGTCAGGTACCTGATTAGTCTCCCCTTGGGAGGGAAGATGTGTGACAAACTCCCCTTTTCCTGTGAGTTTGCCACTAACAGAGCCTGTTTAAAGTATTTTAGCCAAGTCTGTTGCAGGGGCCATAGTCACAGAGTAGGAGGCTGTGTGTCAAGCTACACACATTTCCACTTCTTGGGCTGCAGAGGCTGGTGTACCAGCTAATTGGTCCTCTCTCAAGACGTTTGTCCGCCATTATACGGTGGATGTTGCTAACCCCTCTAACTCACAGTTTGACTTATCAGTTTTTAGGTCCTGTTCCTCTTAAGTTAATTAAAAAAACATTTCTTTGGCATGTATTCCCGCCCTGTGTGAATTTCTTACTGCTCGGGTATTTCCATTAGTTAAATGCTGCCATGATTAGCCAGGAATATGGATTTTTTTTTTCATACTTACCATAATTTTCTTTTCCTGGCTATTGTTCATGGCAGCTTTTTGGTTTCCCGCCCATTTTTCTTTTTATATTATGTTGTTACTGGATGGAGTTGAAGGAGCTTATAGGAGTACTATTATACCTGCCTGCCTAATTATTTAATTGTTTTTCCTGTCCTATTTGCTGAAGGGAGGAGATAACCCATTAGTTAAATGCTGCCATGAGTAATAGCCAGGAAAATAAAATAATGATAAGTATAAATACATTTTCCATATTACCTGTGTACAAGTGCTTTTTTTAATCCTAGTACGATGGTTTATGCTCTTGGTGTAAGAATAGCTTGAGAGAAGTTGAATCCAATAGTTGTCTCTAGAATGTTATTTGGTTTGTGAATACTTGCTGTGTTTTCCCATGGTGCTGGCATTTTATTTCCTGGCCACATAAATGAACAGTAATTCCATATATTGTAATGATAGAAAATTAGAACCTCATTGGAAAGAATTTAAAATAAAAATATAAAAATGTTTAATAAAATATACATACCCAGGTCTGCATTTCTTATTAGGCACAGTAGACACCTGCCTATGGGTGCCTGTTTCCAGCACTCATAAATTACCCTTTTGAACATAAATAGGCTGATGGGAAGAGATAAGTATCAGGAGCCTTAGTATGTGTCCTCTGTAGTCCTGGCAGCCATAATAGCAGAGCTGCAGGTACAGTTTTAGACGGTGCAAAACTCATAGATGTCCCAGTTCCTCCAGTGTGTGAGACTTGATGGGAAAAGGAAGGGATCACTTCACATCTGCCTACTAACTCACACAAAAAATGCCTTGCAGGGGGAGCAGGGAAACATTCTTAGTGATGGACACTGCTGCAGCTCTAATGTGGCAAATATCTATGTTAATTATGTAACGCTGAAATGCAAACCAGTATACTCCAACAGATATATATATATATATATATATAGTTATATCAAAAGGTTGCACTCACGGATTCCTTAAAAATTTACTTTTAATCGGTCTTGTTTAAAAAATCAACGTTTCAGTCCTACTTGAGGACTTTCATCAGCGTTTCAGTCCTACCTGAGGACTTTCATCAGGATAATCCTGATGAAAGTCCTCAAGTAGGACTGAAACGTTGATTTTTTAAACAAGACCGATTAAAAGTTAATTTTTAAGGAATCCGTGAGTGCAACCTTTTGATATAACTATTTGGATATTTGGAGCCCTGGGAGTGCACCCTGTTTGGGAATTGGAGTCTGAGAGCAAGGTACAGTTACTTTTTTCTTTATATGTATATATATATATATATATATATATATATACACACCCTGTTTCAAATTATTATGCAAATTATATTTTTCTCATTTATCTAAATAATTGATGTAAATAACCGTCAGCATAATTCTCATGTTATCAACTATTAAGAGTACAATTCAAATTTTATTGAACAAACCTCCTAATGATAATAGTATTTTTTTTTAAACATAAAAAACTTACAATGCACTATTATGCACAGTAAGTTTCAAAACACTTTATAGGCTGTAAAGAACTGAAAACTGTCATTTGTTGTGTTTGCAGCATATTTACGGAAATCAAAAGCTATTTCAATCAAACTTATAACAACATTTTAACTTTTTAAACAATTTAGCAGTTCACGTTACATTTTAACATAGGACCCCTTATTTGATAGCAGCTTCACAAGTCTTGCATCAATTGAACTTTTGGACAGTTTCTGCTTGAATTTGTTTGCAAGTTGTCAGAATAGCCTCCCAGAGCTGCTGTTTGGCTGTAAACTGCCTCACACCCTCATAGATCTTTTGCTTGAGGATGCTCCAAAGGATTGCTTGAGGATGCTCTCAATAGGATTGAGGTCAGGGGAGGATGGAGGCCACATCATGACTTTCTCTCCTTTTATCCCCATAGCAGCCATTGATGCAGAGGTATTCTTTGCAGGATAAGATGGTGCATTGTCATGCATGAAGATTTTATTACGGAAAGCATAGTTCTTCCTTATGTACCAGGGAAGAAAGTGGTCAGTCAGAAACTCCACATATTTTTCAGAGGTCATCTTTACACCTCCAGGGAACCTAAAGGGGCCGACCAGCTCTCTTCCCATGATTCTGGCCCAAAACTTGACTCCACCACCGCCTTGCTGACATCCCAGCCTTGTTGGAACAGGTTGGCTGTCCACCAACCATCCACTACTCCATCCATCTGGACCATCCAGGGTTGCACGGCACTCATCAGTGAACAGGAATGTTTGAAAATCAGTCTTCATGTATTTTTCTGCCCAATGCAGCCGTTTTTGCTTGTGAGCATTGGTTAGTGGTGGCCGAATAGAAGGTTTATGCACAGTTGCAAGACTCTGGAGGACTCTACACCTTGAAGTCCGTGGGACTCCAGAGGCACCAGCTTCAAATATCTTGGATAAAAGTAGGTATAGAAACCTACACGTACCAGGAGATCCCTAAACCAATCTGAGATGAAATCTTATATTCCTATTATTGGCTCTAAAAAGTACAGTGCAAGGCAGAGCCGATGCAATAATAAAATATGAGGATGTGGAATAACTTAAAATAACGACAGCAAACACATAAAAGAGTAAGGTGCAGTATGCAATTTGTCACTAGGTGTCAGCCAAGTACTAAGCAATCTCACATGAGAGGGGAATTTTAACTAAACAATGCATAATCAGCAGACATATATTAAAAAGGAAAAAAATGCAAATGTGACCTAGATGGTCTACTACAAAAATATAAATCTGCACAATCTCATCTATTGTGTAAATAAACAAAACAAAGAAGAAATGTAGCGCTTATATAAATGAATAAATGACGTAATCACCTTTTAATTCAATAGGAGGAGAATTTTGGTTGTCTGTTAAATCTCTAGGCATCTACAAGAGACAATTAGACATGGCATAGATAATATATGACAGAGTGGTATAGTATGAATGAAATGTATATGCACTCACAAATGGAGAGCTATAGACCCAGCTCTGGTTTGAATTGTTTCTGGGTCCGTATAGGTGGATCTTATTCTGTGGGGAGAATAAATGTACAAACGATTGCACAGTATTACTGATACTAATAGAATATACAATAAAAAATTCCAAATGGGTACTCACAAATATGGAGTCAAAAGATATGACTCAATGGTTAGGCGTTGTGCAGATTGGGATTGCACTCCCATCTGTGGAAGATAAAATGCAGGAATCAGGGTTGGAGTGTAAAAAATAAATTTATTATAACAATCTATAAAATAAATAAAATAAAATAGGCAGCAATGTCTTAAACCTGAACGCGTTTCACCACTAATAGCGTGGCTTCTTCAACCATGTAGCTAGATTTGATGTTCCTGGGTTCCCTGTTGATGTTTAAATACTATAGAAATTGGCGAGTAGAGAATTGGTGCATGTGTTTCGTCACACGTCGCTACCGCCCACAGGTAGGACGTGTGCGGTCCATGCCTCCCTCTCATACCGCAGCCAGGAGGAATTGAGAGGTGTGTTGATCAAGGTGTTTTTCGGCTGCATCTGTTTCATGCCACGTTTCTCCCAAGTAGAACTATGTGTCCCAAATAAATTTGTCCAAAGATTCTAAAGATTCTAAACAATTCTGTGCCTGAGTCTTTTATTGTGGGAGCTGGAACGAAAAAGTCAAATGTCAAAATCATTTTATAATACTGAAGCAGATAATATTCTGAAGGATTCAAGTACCTATAAACAACTAAAGAAGAACCCAAGTGAGGATATCAATAAGATTTTTTTAGCATTTTTTTTAAAAAAGGCTTAAATGCAAATATTTTACATTTAAGAGTTCCAATTTTTAAATATCAGATTCCCGAAGATTCCGTTTTTTTATTTCTTACCAAAGGTTCATAAGGATATAAACAAACCTCCGGGCAGACGAATTATAGCCGGTATTGACTCTATTTCAAGTAAATTATCACAATACATAGATGTCCAGCTGCAGCCCTTGGTACTGAAAACTAGGTCCCATATTAAAGACACAATCACAGTTTTAAGCCTTTTAGAAAATATAGTCTGGGACAATAACTGCATTTTAGTCACATGTGACGTGGCCGCACTGTATAGCAATATTCCCCACTCTTATGGATGTGAAGCAGTAGAACATTTTTAAACCCAATCTAAAGATTTTTTACCTGAACAGATCGCTTATATTGTGGAAGGAATAGAGCTCATATTAAAGAATAATTTTTTTTGGTACAACGATAACTTCTTCCTTTAGACCAATGGGACGGCCATGGGGACCACGTTCACCCCCAGCTATGCCAATTTATTTATGTCTTTTTGGGAGGACTCTTTTGTCTTCAATGGGCATGGCTGAGGAGAGAGCTTGGTCTTCTATGGCCGTTACATCGATAATATTTTACTTGTATGGAAGGGTGGAGAAAGGGATCTGGAGATGTTCTTGGAATTTTTAAATAGCAACAACTGGGGCATTAAACTGAGTAATACATGGAGTAAACAATTGGTCACCTCGACATTTACATTGAAAAGGGAAAAATTAAAACCAGGAATAATTTTAAAAAGGTAGACTGTAACAGCTTTATTGAAAATATTAGCTGTCACCATTCCCCTTGGCTGGAGAACGCCCCAAAGGGTCAGTTTCTCAGAATCCACCGTAATTGCAGTGATTTGATGAGCTATGAAGAGCAATCATCACGTATTAAAGCAGATTTTATTTCAAAAGGGTATGATGCATCTAAATTAGAAAATTCTCGATTGGAAATTAAAAGTAGAGAAAGAAAAGACCTACTATCCTATAAAACGAAGACTGATATCAAGAGACAAGATGTCCCTTTTATTTGTAACTTTAATACAAACAACTATCAGGTACGCAAAATTTTGAAAAATACTGGCCAATTCTTCTACAAGATCCAGCCTTAAAACAAATTCTTCCAGTAAAACCAAGGATAATCTACAGAGGAGCTAAAAATCTTAAAAGCACTCTGGTACGGAGCTCCCTCAAAGAAAATAACCATTCACCAACCATTTTTAAGAATGAGAAAGGCTTCTATGGCTGTGGCCAGTGCACAGCCTGCAAAAGGTCTGGGTGTACCCGAAGGGTAATAAAAGACATAGCTCTTAAAGAAAATGTGGATTAAGCAATTTATGACTTGCTACACCAAAAACCTACCTCTTGACTTGTCCTTGTGGGCTAAGATATGTTGGTAGAACGACTAGACCCATGCACACTAGGATCAGAGAGCATATATATAAAATCCAAACAGGTTTTGAACAACCTAGTGTCTCCAGTCATTTCAAACAATTCCACGACCCAAAGCCAGAAGGTTTAACCTTCATGGGGATATATAAGATGAATAAGAACTGGAGAGGGGGTAATTTTATGAAGAACTTGGGAAATGTGAAATGGAGTGGATTTATTAACTAAATACTTTGATCCTCTATGGTCTCAACTCTGATTTTGAACTATGCCATTTCCTATAAATATATTTCTCTTAACCATGTTCGTTGTTCTTATTCTCCAATTATGATCTTAGTACTTCCATTTTTTAGCCCCTAATATATTTTTATCTAATTTTCTTTTTTTGTATATGTCCTTTTTATTAACTTTTCTCGCCTTTTATCGTTATTACCTTTTTTAAATTTACATTTTTTATAACTATTTTTATCACTGTCTTGAGCTTTAGGTATTTTTCTAGTTTTTATTAGTATAATATTTAACGAATTTGTGTGTTTATGGCTATTTAACTTGAATAACTAGCCAATATCGATATATCAGACTACATTAAGAATATCAATTAGGATTATCCTATCATGATTAGTAAATAAATGACAGGTTCAATTTAATATTAAAGATATGGTTGTTTTATTAAGACCGAAAATCATTTAAATTATTGACTATTCTCAGGACAAAAAGGTACTAAACTTCTATATTTTTATAGTTAGAAGTTTAGCCTTAGATTCATAAGTCTGGCAAAACGGCTGTTAATGAACTTCAATAGAAAGTGTCTTCAGCTATTATTGATTTAAATAAGACCACTAATCTTTTCAGCATATTTATACTGTTTGCCTTATAATAAAAATGAACTACATGACAAACCACTGTTAGCAATTGATCAAAGAAGAGATGGTTATTTATTGACTCAAACTTTAAAATAAGATGATCTCTTTCGTATATTTTTATTGCCCGCCATGAAAACAGACGATAGGATATTAGCAATTAACCATAGAAGTGACTGTTATTTCTTTATGTTACATTGTACTGATTCTCCGTTACGAAATTGCAAAAGAATTTGCACGTTTTAGATAGAATGTTTCACCTTATTTAAGGGAGATGTATGAGTGCTAAATTTATCTAGCTCAGTGCATATTATAAAAATATCATGATTAGTAAATGAATGACAGGTTCAATTTAATATTAGAGATATGGTTGTTTTATTAAGACCAAAAATCATTTAAATTATTGACTATTCTCAGGACAAAAAGGTACTAAACTTCTCTATTTTTATAGTTAGAAGTTTAACCATAGATTCATAAGTCTGGCAAAATGGCTGTTAATTAACTTCAATAGAAAGTGGCTTCAGCTATTATTGATTTAAATAAGACCACTAATCTTTTCAGCATATTTATACTGTTTGCCTTATAATAAAAATGAACTACATGACAAACCACTGTTAGCAATTGATCATAGAAGAGATGGTTATTTATTGACTCGAACTTTAAAATAAGATGATCTCTTTCATATATTTTTATTGCCCGCCATAAAAACGGACAATAGGATATTAGCAATTAACCATAGAAATGACTGTTATTTGTTTGTTATATTGTACTGATTCTCCGTTACGAAATTGCAAAAGAATTTGCACGTTTTAGATAGAACGTTTCACCTTATTTAAGGAAGATGTAGGAGTGCTAAATTTATCTAGCTCAGTGCATATTATAAAAATATCACGGACTGATACTGCCTCTTTCTCTTTCTTTTTTCCTGATATGTATTTGTGGATCGGTATGAACTGTGACAACCGATCAGATAAAACGATCCACACGGACGTTTTTGTTCCAGCTCCCACAATAAAAGACTCAGACACAGAATTGTTTAGAATCTTTGGACAAATTTATTTGGGACACATACTTCTACTTAGGGAGAAACGCTGCATGAAACAGATGCAGCCGAAAAACACCTTGATCAAAACACCTCTCAATTCCTCCTGGCTGCGGTATGAGAGGGAGGCATGGACTGCACACGTCCTACCTGTGGGTGGTAGCAACGTGTGACGAAACACATGCACCAATTTCTGGCAGAAATCTTCCTCAATGTGCCTTTATCTGCACAAACCCGTCTGTGCTCTGAATCAGCCACAAATCTCTTAATAGTGCGATGATCACGCTTACGTTTTCGTGAAATATCTGTTTTCATACCTCGTCCAAGGCATTGAACTATTTCACTCTTTTCGGCAGCAGAGAGTCCTTTTTCTTCCCCATATTGCATGAAAATGGTGCTCTGTTTAATAATGTGTAACACCCTCCTTTAGTAGTTTTTCCTTAAATTGGGCTCACCTGGCAATCTAATTATCACAGGTGTCCGAGATTGTTTTCAGTGATCAAAAGAGCCCTGAGACACAATGCCATCCATGAGTTAATCTGAAAAACAAAATATTTAATCTTTGTGACACTTAAACAGAATTTGCATAATAATTTGGAACAGGGTGTGTATATATATATATATATATATATATATATATATATATAGAAACAGCAAAAAGATAGCACTCTCAGTACTTCCAATGTTAAACATTAATAACTTTTAATGTCCAAAATAAAAAATCAACGTTTCAGTTTGTCTTGCAAACTTTTATCCTTTCTACATTATTGCTGACAAGCACCGGGCAACTACACTTGTAAGTGGAGTGCAAAATTATTTTTTCATATATATTTATTGCAGGACCTAACCCAGGAAGTCTCTCTAGTGGCAGTCAGAATGAAAGGCAGTGTATACACTGCAGGGACAGCCTATAGAAATCAGGAGAACTATACACACAAGAACCACTACATTAAGTGTTTCTGGTAACTATAATGTTCATTTAAACCCACCTTTACCCTAAACACTTCTAACATTATCTGTAACGGCTGTATGCCGTTAGGGACGTCCTTTTCCCTTAGAAGGAGCAGTGCTGCAGTATTCTCCAGATGTCATCTCTGCCAACTGAGTATCCGAATGCTAGTGATTAGCTGTGAAGCAGGTTACCTACAAGCACGAGACAAGGCTATGTGCTGAGTGTTTAGCAGAACTGATCTTTAATGGGGCCACATTGGCCTTTTATGCCAGTTTTCCAACCAGGGTGCCATCCAGGTGGACCTTGTTGAGCACAGGGACACGGTGAATAACCAATTAACATACATACAGTGAGACACTCCCATACATTACACACAATCCCTCCCCTCTGCTTGGGAGGTTATTGAGTTAATTACTGTATCAACTCTATCTACAAACTGAAAAAAGGACAATTTTATAAATTTCTAGAAACATCCTGGAAATTACATCAGAACCCCATAAAACATACATCTAATGATAGCCCCGATTTGGGTGAACAACATATTTAAAAATCATCCAAATCGGTTCAGAGATTCAAACGTTAGATGGAAGTCCTATTTCTGCCCGGCCGCACACAATGTTCCTGCCCAGAATAATTCCATGAATTCAGCTGGTGCTACCGGTCTCCTTCGTGCAGTTCAAAATGCAGTTCAAATAATTGTTTGTGCGCAAGGTAGTTGTGTGCCTCTTTGTTCGTACGTTGTTTTTACCGAATGCTGCCTCCTTCGGATGAATTAGGAAGAATCTAAGTTGTCCTGGAAGTCTCAGGGTTAATAAATATATAGGAGTGTATATAAAAAATACCCCTCTCTGTCTCATTGCAGATATCTTTGCCAGAAGCTCAAGGAAGCAAGGTGAAAGGTCAGTGTAGAACCCGCCTGGGGAGGTCTGCCTTGACATTGGCAGGCGGGCATTCCTTCCAATGGCCATTGAAGTAACTAAATGACCTCTATTTGTTTAAATATACATAGGGATTCAAGAGAGAGTGCAGGTAACTTTTTCTTTGGTTTTTACTGTATGTAAAGTGGCTGATGTGTACTGTGGTCATTGCTGCCCCCAGGACTTATCTTTTTGTATTTACGAGCTAGACGGAGAAAAACAGGTTACAAATCTTAAGTCTACCCAACTATAAAACATACACATTATGACACAGGGTATGTAAAACAGAAATAAAACTGGGTGGCGGGACTTCCGGTCCAACGGAGTGGTCACATGCTGTAAGAGCTCCGTGATCGGAAAGGCCTAACAAGTGGCTAAAACAGCGACGAAAAGAACCACATGGACCCAATAAGGGTGCTCAAGACAGGGGGAAACCTCCTATTCCAAGTGGCACCCCCAAATGCCCAATGAGCCTCTGATTTTTCTCCGCCAGGGAAAACGAGACAGGCTGCGGTCAGAGCAAGATGGCGGCAGCTCCCACTCAGCCATGCACACCTCAGACGCAGGGTCGAACACTGACACGAGACAAGCACCCTCAGGGGCCTCTCAGTGTCGGAGAGATGGCTGGCAGCCATGCTCCAGGAACTGCGCACATCCATGAAAGCTGACTTCCAAACAGAAGTCACTGACATCCGCAAAGAAATGCTGGAAGTGGGAGCATGTGTGAACGCTCTGGAAGTCAAGGCGGATGAACTCTGTCTGGCTAATGATGCAATGATGGAGAAAATCTGTAGAATGGAAGTAGATCTGGAAGACCGCTCCCGCTGCAACAACATCCACGTGCGCGGTGTGCCAGAGACAATACCAAGCGAGGAGCTGCCAAATTACTTGCAACAGCTCTTTCGGGCAATACAACCTTCCCTGGAACCTGCAGACCTCATGGACAGGGCACAAAGAGTACCAAAACCCAAAAACCTAGCACAAGATGTGCCCAGGGACATAGTAACCAGACTCCACTATTATAGCTCTAAAGAAGCCATATTGACGGCACAAAGGAAAGCCTTGACGATGCCACCTTCCTACGATGGAATATCCCTTTACACTGACTTATCACCAACGACTATGTCCAGAAGAAGGGACTTTATTAATATAACTAAGTGCCTCTGCAACCACAAACTCCTGATCTGGCGAATGCGCTCCCTCACAAAGCTTGAAGACCCAGCCCACGGCATGGACAAGATCAGAGCCTGTTTCCTGAGAAGCAGATGACCGTCGTCCCTGCCTCCCTGTGGAGAGTGGAATGGACCAAAGTCAAGTAACAAAAGACACCCTGAAAGCTCACACTGCTACCCCACCCTGGACTGCTCAAAACATTCTGCACGTCCTCCGAGGCCCCATATGATGATCAACCTTCGTGGAAATAATGGCACAAGGGGCTTATGGCCCCCACGTGAGTACACCTAAACGCTACACTGACTCGTGTTTCTCCCCTGCACTCCGATCACCCCACCCCTGAGCTTAAATGCCCCTCTACAGCCACCATAAAGGTGAGGACTTACCGCCTAGACACCGAGCAGGTCCTCAAAGCGACCACTGTTGGCATCTATCCTATAAGGACATGTTCCGTACAGTTCAATAGGCCATTACCGAATACCAGTTACTCACCCCACATCAAATTTAGAGACATCTTCCGCCGGTGTTGTCTCCCCCTGTGCAGTAAAGGTGGCTGGTCTCCACACAATGCTCTCTAGCTTTTTGATACTGTAGCGGGACCTGGGTAACCTGGCTGGTTATCCCCTTTTGTTAAGATAGGTCAAACCCATTTCCTCAGTAACTGGACGGGACACAGTTCCAGGATACAGTCTTTGACACTGTTTATTTGGGCACACAGCTTTTTATGCGCAGACCCCCCCAACCCAACACAATCTCATGCAGGAGGGGGCTGGGGAACAGACAACCATCTCCCACTCTGGGAGATACCAACAGGACACATGGACAAGCCTGAGTACACATTACATACGGAGGGGTGAACTTTGGGCCTCAGCACCCCAGGACAGGAAGGGCATACAGGGTTACAGTTTATATGGATTAATAGCTCCGGTCCCCCCTAGGATCCCTGCAAAAAGCGGGGCAATCGGATGTACAGAGCCGGAGATATCAGCATCGAAAGTCTGGGGCTCAAGTCTCTGTACATCCCCGATATCAGTTCCATGGTGTTGTCTGGTTTAGTCCGGCGAATTCAAATTTCGCGCCTAAACCAAGCAACAACCAATCAGCCGAAATGGCGCGAGCCAAATCGTGCCAATCAGCGTTAGGGGGAGGAAGGAGTTTCGCCGCCCAATCCAAAGAAAGGGTGCGAAACTCGGCTGCACCAATCAGTGCTCAAGGAGGATAGGGGTTTCGTGGCCACAGGTGACAAAACTCACTAAAACTCACCTTATGTTACTTACATTTACTAGATGTAATGCATATTTGAACCTAGTAGGTGGCTTGAAGCCATGGCACTAGTACAAAAGGCCACAGGCTGCTTAGACCATGTGGAGGCAGCCTACAAGCTATGGATGAGATGGTACTTTACACCCCAGAGATTAGCTCACATTTACCCAGGGGCACAGCAAACATGCTGGCGCTGCAGCCAATACGTAGGCACCTTGAGCCACATATTCTGGCACTGCCCTGCACTCAACTCCTACTGGAAGCAAATCTAAGGGCTGATAGAATCAAAACTGAAAAAACCCTACAACTACTACCAGAGTCCTACCTGCTCCATATGCTTCCTAAAGGGTTTAGGCAATATGAAGCAGCTTTGCCCATATCGCCCATATCACACTAGGTGCAAAAACCTGCATAGCTGCCCTATGGAAATCAACCACCGCACCAGATGTAGCGCTAGTTATTTGTAGAGTAAATCACACAAAACAATATGAAAAAATGTCACACACAATCAGTGGAACCCTAGCACACTACAACCAAATCTGGTCTAAATGGACAGAGAGGGATACTCTAGCCCAAAGGGTCCCCTAGGAACAAAAACAAAACCACCCTCTAACATGCCATAGAGAAGGATGCATACCACTTACCACACCAAACCCACCCAAGCCAACAACGATGTAGTTGGAGTTGATGATGAAGACACCTGCACACTGCACCGACAAACTGTAAACGATGTAGCAGAGCAGCATCTTGTAACACCCCCTAGTTGGACCTCCCACACCCTGTTCCCCCAAAAAGGCTTTTCTCTTATACCCTGTAAGACCCACTATTCTGCAGATGGTTTGCCACCATACTTTATGTAAAGATGGAATACAAATATAGCTAACCGAACCTGACCACTCAAAACAGATTGCCATCTCACGAGTCCCTAACTGCTCCACAGGACTGAGCAGACATACCAAGGGGTCTTCCTCGCACCGCACCGATATCCTGTGCATTGACACCCCTGCAAGATTTGTATTTCGCTTCTGGCAACTTACCATCTCTAGAAGTGCTTTAAACTGTCTACACCGATGTACCAATTTCAAGCTGTTCTAATGTAAAACTTTACAGTTTTCAATGTGTTTATTTCAAAGTGTTTATTATTGTAAATTTACATGCCATTTCACCTCGAAATAAAAATGAACCATTTAAAATAACAAAACAAAAAAAAAATTTCCTTTAGCAATAACATTGCACTTAAAAAGTCTCTGGGACTAATTTAGTAAAATACAGTCTTTAGTCCATCCCACAAAATTAGTACAGTAGTGGCTGGAGTCCTTGATTCCACTCAAATGCAGTCAGGCAATAAAAGCTACCGAATGCATTAAAGGGGTATTTTTATGTATTTATAGGTATTGTATGTTTTCTCAAAAAAAAAAAATTGCCTTATTTTTTATATAGGAAGCTAAGTTATTTATCTTTTATTGCATTTTCTATTTATATCGGTTTTAGGACTTTCTATTTTTATATGCAGCCTTTATTTTCACTATATCTCTGTTCTATTTCAATTTCACCATTTTCTTTTGTTTTTTTTTCTCTCCCTTTGAGCTTCTCTTCTCCTCAAGTTACCTGATATAAATATAGCATACAAGCAACATGAACATTACAAAACAATATCACTGTGATTCAAGTAAGGAATGCAGAGGAACCAGTACAGAAAGATGCATAGGTAATGAAAAGTCCTGGAGCTCCTGCAGTCCTCTCCATTTTGCTAGACCACATTTTTAAAATTGTTATTTCTAATTACATCTACAATAACTACTACAAGTCAGATAAACCATAGTCATAATCTGGTATACTGTGCCTGTTTTTATTTTACAGCCTTTACAGCTTACTTTTAATCAGAAAAGAATGCAATGCTATTATACACTGATTAGCCACAACATTAAAACCACCTGCCTAATATTGTCTAGGTCCCCCACATTCTGCCAAAACAGCTCTGATGCGTTGAGGCATGGGCTCCATAAGCTCTTTGAACGTATTCTGTGGTATTCTGGCACCAGGACATTAGCAGCAGTTCCTTTAAGTTGTAAGGTGGAGCTTCCATTGAATGATTTGTTGTTCCATGCTCAAATCGGATTAAGATCTGGGAAATATGGAGGCTAAAGCAATACCTTGAACTCTTTTACATGTTCCTCAAACCATTCCTGAACAACTTTTGCAATGTGGTAGCATGCCTATTCTGCTTAAAAAGGAAACTGACATCAGGGAACACCATTGCCATGAAGGAGTGTACATGGCCTGCAACAATCTCTAGGTGGGTGAAATAATTTAAAGTAACATGCACATGAATGCCAGGTCTCAAGGTTTCCCAGCAGTACATTGCCCAAAGCATAACAGTGTCTCTGCCGGCCTGCATAGTGCATCCTGCTGCCATCTCAATCACACGCACCCGGCCATCCACCTGATCTAAAAGAAAACATGATTTATTAAACCAGGCAAACTATTTTTCCATGGTTCAGTTTTGACACTCATATCTCTATTGAAGGCACTTTCATCGGTGGGCAGAGGTCATCATGGGCACTGTGACCAGTCTGCGGCTCCATAATAAGCACACTGTGAAGCATTGTGTGTTCTGATACTTTTCTATCATTGCCCGCAATTTGAGCTATAGTAGCTCTTCTCGCCCTTGACCCTAATGCCAGTTTACCAATTGTCCTTCCTTGCACCGCTTTTGGTAGATACTAACCACTGCTTACTTGGATGCTCTGACCCAGTCGTCTAGCTATCACTATTTGGCCCTTCAAAGTCACTCAGATCTTTCACATTTTTACTGCTTCCAACACATGGAATTCAGTAACTGACTGTTGATTTGCTGCCTAAAATATCCCCTCTTCCCCCCTTAAATGGTGCCATTGTAACAATCTAATCAATGTTATTTACTTCACAGTGGTTTTAATGTTGTGGTTGATCAGTACATACAGCATCATTGAAAATTACCCCTTTGTAACTACACAAGAACTCAGAAGTGCTTTGAAGATAGTGACATCTTATTTTTGTAGAGATCATTAAGCCAATCTCTTCTAGAGCTTTAATGTATTTTCAGCATACAATTAAATGCACTGCAAACCCCCATTTCATATCCTGTAGAAATGTCATATTAACTAAATATAAGAATATGCCATATACGAAAGAAAGCTGCATACAGAGCAGATATGGTGATTATTCAAATCAATGTGAAGTTAAACTGAGAGGCAAACGCCCAAATAAATAGTGCATAACTTACTTATGAATAACAAATTTGATTACGTGTGAATAAAATATAGAATTTTTCTACAGCTTCCACTCACATCCACTATGTCAGCTAATTAAGAGAAGTAATGAGGTTGCAATATTTTTTAAAGGAATACTCCAGGTACAAAAACACAACTGATGCACTTCAAATTCAAATCTCATGAATGTAAAGCCAGAAATCAAATGTATTTAAAAGGACACTCCAGAAGTTGCATACTTATTGTGTGAAGAGTATTGAGACAGAGCTTCATAATGTAAGTACCTCTGCTACCAGAGTCTCTGGAGTGCTTCAGACCCATTCTAGTTGGTAGAAAGCATCAGCAGGACAGGAGAGCACACAAAACATCCGGGGACCAACATAAAATGTCCATCTTATGCCCCTAATGATGGTAACTGCTGCCACATATTCCTCCCCCCCAAGGGTAGACTAACTAGGTACCGGTCCTTCAATCAGTCTGTGCCTGAGTTAGTCGGTTGTGCAGTCCTAAAAAGTGCATCCACCCTGGCAGCCTCCTGAGCAAAGCTCCACTGTCTAGCTCCGTTGTGTTGTTGGGAAGTGAAGCCGACTGCATTCTCTACCTGAAGTTCCTTCTGACATTGAGAACAGGTTAAGTTATCAGCTGGTTAGCGCAGTGGTAATGTCACTGCCATAGAACTGTTTTTTTTTGTGGGTTTTTTTTTAATACGTTTACAAATAGGCATTCAGGTAGAGAGTTATACAACACAGCAACCTTCAAGTTCTCAGTACGTTCAAGAGATATAAAATGCATCAACATCATATTGTAAACAGTATTGCAGTTACACATTATAACTGCAGCATGTAGGTGTTGCACGCAGATTGTGATGTGCTGATACATTGTTGCCACACTCTCCCCCTACCGCCCCTTTTTCTGTTTTGGAATATTAGATGCAAAAGGTATTTAGTAGAGAAAAGAATGAGAGTAAGAATAAGAGGTGAAACTGTTAGATATCCTGGTTGACAGGGAGCTAGACTCCAGTGTTCCACATGTCCAAAGACCGTATGACCTCAGGGTCTGCACCACTGAATTAGCTATAGGCCCCTGCTCCTAGAGGTGCCGCACCCAGGGGATCTAGGGTGCTTGAGCGTAAAGGGGTAAATTGCAGGATATTGAAACAAAGAAAGGAAAAAGTTGTGCTTACTGGATTAGATCCCACCACACCATGACATTGGTGCATACCCCAGTCCTTTTCCTTCCATCTCCTTAAGTAGTTGTAATAACTGGCTGTGTTTTTCTATAGTTGAATACGTCTTTTATGTATATATATATATATATAGATATTTCTTCTTTTGGGTCAGGCTCGCCACAATAATATATGTCTATATTATTGAAAAGTACTAATATGTAATCTGACGTTCTTTATAAAAAATAAGTATTTATTCTACATTCAACAGCAAACAATATTATACTTAACAGATGGTAATTCTTAACGACGTTACAGAGAGTCGTCTTGACATCAGAGAGGAGAGCAAAACGGAACGTAGCAGGAAGAGACTGTAATCCTTTGTCCTTGGCTCTATATACCCCAAATTACGTCATAACGTTTAGTTTAGACCCTGCCATATAAGGAAGTTCCCTATATAAAGACCGCCTCAGATCTCTTATACAGCAAATTCCAGAGACCTCATGTTACAGAATAGCAAACACCATCTGTTCTGTTTAACCCATTAGGCAGCCACACCTTAATATGTATTTGAATAGGAACATACAGAATATGCAATATTCTACATTTCCCTCTGTTTATGGTTTATTTATAAACCATATCAAAATGTTATTTACCTGTCCATTCATACATCATTCGTATCACATTTCATATCACAGTCATTGGGTATAAGAAGAGATGTGTTCATAGCTACCCAGTATCTGAGATTCCTTGGAAGTATTGTGTATTATCCTGTTTACAGTTTCCTTTAGTGTATTCTCCTTCTGTTTAACCTTTTCATTTACGAGTATATACATTTTTCTAATTCTACATTGCATAATTACTTGTACAACAATACATATTATAGATACACATACAACAATAATAAATGGATGAAATAAAATATTTACAATTGCTGATCCTACAGATGATTTAGCAAGTGTGTTTGTACTTTTAATTATGTCATTCCACCAAGAGGAACTAGAAACAATTGACCATTCATGTTCTATCACCTTTAATTTACCCTGTTGATGTTCAAATTGAATTTCTGTTTCTTTCAACTGTTTTTGTAACGAATATAATAATATCTTGTCTTTCCTAATCTCATCTGCCCACTTTCTCCATGGAAACTCATTTGTTTGTGAAACATTTAATTGAATAGGCATAATATCTATCTCTTGTATAGGACTCTTCGATATATTAACTTGAGTTCCTTGTATATGTATTATTAGTGGACCCCCATTGATACAATATAACCCTTTCTGTAATGTTTCTGAATGTGTACATTCTGAAAATGTAGCTCTTACCAACTCATTATTTGACATAACCTGTACACATACTTTGTCTTTTTCTATGAGAGTTACAATTTCATGAGGATTTTTAACTGTTTTAATTTTACCAGAACATGAACTTTGGTTATGAAAACATGATTGCTAAATGGTTTCAACTTGGTTATTTAAACACAGTATTATTTTGGATGCAAAATGTAGACAACTAGAAAGATCTACCTGTTCAAGTTCAGTAATGTTATTATAAGATACAAAATCAGGATATTGTAATTTATAAAATAATAATTGTGTGTTACTAATAGGAATTCCTAATACCGACATTGAAAATAGTGTTTTTTCAATACCAGAAATTGGTATTAAAGAAGAACTTATACATATATCATTGTTACATCCCAACCATTTGTTAAGCCATAAATCTGTATGATTTTTAGCAAACGCAAACTCCTCAGGTAAACTACGTTTGAGTTCTATAGTAGTAGTACTACCTTGTAATGCTTGTGCCATCACCTTAAAATCTGTAGAATATTCAAGTTGTATCTCTAAACAAGCTTTGGCTACCTAGGATGAATCTGCATTTCTCATTAATGCCAAAGTAGCTTCCTGTAAATGTTGAACAGAGGGTGCAATAACAGAGGCTGTGTTCATAACCATATTTTTCAATATTTGATTTAAACCTCTTTGAATATGCAATCCTTTTCCCCTATTAACCCTACAGTTCCCAAATCATTCTTTAATGTTTGAATATCCATAGAATTGGTGATACTTCCTATAGTACCATTGTTTGTCCCATTGTATCTGTTATGTTATAAGGACCTTCCCAGTTTGCCTCCCAAGGTCCAGTTTTCCTAAAAGATTTTATTATGACCATACCCCCCTTTAAAAACTCTGAAAAATCCGGAGGTGCTATTTTGCACATTCGAGTAGCTGCATGTGGAAGAATTTGCTCCAAATTTTCCTGCAGCATTTGCAACCATTTATTTTTAGCAATTGCATCTTTCTGTGGAGTAGACAAATATGGTTCATTAGGAAAATTTAACTGCATTTCCCTACCTGTCATCAATTCAAATGGAGTGTATTGTGTAGCTGAAGACATAGTGCCTCTAATACCCATAAGTACAGCAGGAAGTGCCTGTACCCATGTGTTGCCTTTCTCAAGTAACATTTTTGAAAGTCTAGATTTCAATGTTCGATTCATACGTTCCACAATCCCAGCAGATTGTGGATGATATGAAACATGGAATCTCTGCTCTATGCCTAGAATAGCACACAGTGCTTGCATAATTTTCCCTGTGAAATGGGTACCTCTGTCTGACTCTAGAAGTCTAGGAAATCCACATCTTGAGAAAATGTGTGTCCATAATGCTTCAGCCGTTTTTTGTGAATCATCTTTAGTCAGAGGAATTACTTCTAACCATTTAGAGAATACATCCACAACTACTAACACATATTTTAATCCATTCTTACCTGTTGGTAATGGCCCAATGAAATCAATTTGTAAAGTAGACCAAGGACCATTTGCAGGTGCTATACGTTGTATAGGCGTTTTTTGTCCTTTAGGTCTGGGATTTATTTGTGCACATATCAAACATGATTGCACTACCTGTTGTACAGTCTTTTCCATGCTTTTCCATGTTATCCCAATAAAACTTATCTCTGAGTACCTCTAACAGTTTCTGCTGTCCAATATGACCTAAACTTTCATGATTATATTGTGTAAATAACATTTTTAGATGTTCTGGCATGACCGGACACAGTTCTCCGTTTTGGTCATGACACAAAACCCCGTTCTCATGAACAAATGGAGGTTTTGGATCAACCCGAGAAGCCACAAGGGACGAATCCTTTGTCTGTTCTTCTGCAAAAGATGGAGGCTGTGTGTTAGTCTTTCTAACCACTGCTACTGACACGGGCTCTGTCTGCAATGCATTTTCACCAGTTAAAGCCGCTCTTTTTGCTAATTTGTCAGCTATTTCATTTTCTTCACTAAGTAAATCTTTACCTTTTTGATGGGCAGGAACTTTAACTATAGCATGTAAACATGGCTCTTGAGACACAATTCCAAATATGGTCTCTAGTGTCTCTTTGTGTGCTAACACTTTATTTGAGGCATCTACGAACCCTCTTCTTTTCCATATAGCTAAATGTTCTGTTAGTGATCTAACCACATATGAACTATCACTATATATCACTAGGGGACGCCCCTCTTTTTCCTCAAGTGTCAGTACTGTTTTTAATGCTTCTAGTTCTGCTCTCTGTGCTGACAAATGACCTGGCAATTTATGCTCTACTGAATATCCTCATTTTGGATACCATATAGCATAACCTGTATAGTACTTCCCATCTGAACAGAATCTGGACCCGTCAACAAACACAGGTTCATCAGATTCACTTGCTTCCTTTCTGAAAAGAGAAAGAAAATTCTCTTCAACTTCTGCTAAACATTTATGGGGTTTACCCTCACACTGCATTAGTTGTGGAAGTACATACTTTGCCTTATGTTCTACCTTAATTTGCTTTGGTGATAGAGCTATTAACCATCGTGAAAATCTCTGATGTGACACACCTGGAATTCCTTTTTCAAGAAGTAATTTCAAAGGTGTGTGTGGTGTTTGCAGAATTATGTCCTTGAATCCCACTATGTGTTCAGTTGCCATTACCGCAAAATGTACTCCTACCAAATGTCTGGCACAAATTTCTAGCCCTCTTTCCACTGGGGAAAGAATTTTAGAAAAATATCCCACTATTCTCCATATCTCTTGCTGCAATTGTAATAGTACTGTGGAGACAGCCGTCTCTGAAGTATGTACTTGAATTGCAAAAGATGCAGATGGATGTATTGTCGCTAAAGCAGGTGCAACCTGTAAGTCTCTTTTGTACCTCAATGCATTCTGATGTTCATCTGTCCATGGTCCAAATGAAGATTCACTATTTTTCAAGAGATCATATAAAGGTTTGGCTTTTTCAGTAACCCTTCAATTAATTCTCTGGAAAAATCCATTAATCCTAGGAACTGGCGTAAGGCCTTGTGTGAAGTCGGTACAGGAAGAGTAGAAATAGTTTTGATTATTTCCTGCACTGGCTTCTTGTGTCCTGGACCAATGTGTACACCCAAGTATTGTACTTCTGGTTGCATCAGTGTTACTTTGCGTGTATTCCGTTTTAAACCAGAATCCTGCAAAAGGAAAAATAATTCATTTAACAGAATCAGGTGTTCTTCCTCAGTTTCAGTCTGCAAAAGCATATCATCAACATATTGTAACAAGCATTCTGGCCTAGAAAAATATGTCGGAGAACTGTGAAAACCCTGGGGTAACACAGTAAACACATATTGCTGATTTTGAAATGTAAAAGCAAACTTATACTGACAACTACGCTTTAGTGGTACAGAGAAAAACCCATTACTTACATCTAGTACTGAGTATACCTTAGCCGTTGACGTCAATCGTGACATTATATCTGGTGTTTCTGCCACCACATGTGCAGAAGGTGGTGTGTATTTATTTAATGTACGTAAATCAATTGTTAATCTCCAGGAATTTGATTCTTTTTTCAAAATTGGCCACAGATTTTGATTGCATGGACTATTTGCTTTTCTAATTATTCCTCTCTGTTCCAAATCATTAATGACACTTGCAATAGAATCAATTGAATCTGGGGGTAATCTATACTGCCTCTGTGGGAGTGGATCAGGACCTT